TTCCCCCTCCTTTGTATCTACTGATTTTCCATTTTCTGCACTATGGAGTAGCTCTGACAGTTTAGGTATTTCTAGAACACTTCCTCTGTTAAATTTAATAGCTAGTTCAATAGCTGGATCTCTGGTTATATTCATGTCTTCAATTCTGAGCTGTTCATCATCATTTGGAAATGAATTTTTGATTCCTTCAGTAGCAGATACAGATAAGTAATGCCCAGAGACTTTAACAGACTCTGGTTCAGATTCTCTGTCCACTTCATCTTTTATTGTTTGCACATGTTGTTTCTCAAGCATCTCTTTATTATCATGTTTTATTTCAGAGCACTGAGAGTGCTCAGAGATCTCAGTAGCTCCAGTGCGTGCCTCAGTCTCTTTAATTATTCCTTCCCCATCGTGCCTTATGTTTGGGTCTTTAGAACACTCTACTTCACAGGTTTTTGAACTCTTGAAGTCACACAGTACGTTTTCAGAGAGCTTGCTCTCATTGTTTGCTTCTGCAGAGAGTCCATTTATCTGTATCGCAGCTGTTATTTCCTCTTCAGTTACCACTTGTGTTATTTCTGCTACATCACTTTCCATATTACTTACTTTGATTACATTTTTTGATTCATTTTCAACCACCTCATTCGGTATGAGCACATCAGATTTCTCCTTAGAATCTTCAATTTGAAGCACAATGAATTGCTCAGATGGCAAATGATTAGCACTTTGTGGAAGAGGTACTTCCCTGGGAGTTTCTCTCTCTCCTGAAAATTCATCTCTTTCTACTTTCATTAATTCACTATGCTTTTCATGTGTTCCTTCATTATCAACAGCTTTGATTAAGATCATATTCTTCTCTGCTTGCTCTACCTCTCTACATTTTTCCATGATATTGTGCAGATTGCAACTTTGTAATACAAAATCAGCTGAAGAATCTCCCTCTTCACTATGAATGTCCTCACTATATCCTTCCTGTTCTTTGATGGCTTCCAATTCATGTGCTGTTGCTTCAGTTAGTTGTCTGTTCTCAGTTTCCGTATTCTCAGAATTCTCCAAACAATCTTTGTTAGTTTCCATGTTTGTAATTAAAGTAGCAGCTTCAGCATCGATCTCCTCCTTGCTTGACATCTTTGGACTGATATGAATGTTCTTTTCATTCCAACTCAGGTGAAGTGAGATTTCTGCATCAAGACCATGCTCACATGATTTGCTCTGTTGGTTACACTCCTCATTGAAGCTGATTACATTACAACTCGGAGGTTGAACTTGGTCTTCTTGTAAAATATCCTCCTCCACTGCAGAATCACTACAATCACCTTCGTCATCGCTGGAACCTGTGACTTCTCCAAACAACATATCCTTTATTGAAAAAAAAATAAAGTTAATATTCCAAACCCTGGCATCATTTTTAAGATCCACTTCTCTAAACAAGAACACTGGTGGTCTTGACTAGCAGTGGTTTTGAGAGATTAAGACTATTAACAAAATTACAACCATCACCATTTTTCTTCATAGCAAATGGAAAGTAGCTCTATAAAAAGTAAGAGACTTCTATACCCACCTACATGCAATCTAAGATTACTGGAAAACAGCATTTGACTTTCAAGCTCTGGAATTTTGCTATGAAAGCCACCCATATCCAACAGGAGCTGGGACTGTAAATCTGCACCCTTGGTAAAAGAAATTATGACAGCAAGTTAAGACAGATGACTGCGTGCTGGTTTTGGCTAAAGTAGTTGATTTTTTTCACAGTAGCTACTATGGGGCTATATTTTGGATTTGTGCTGAACACAGGGTTGGTAATATAGAGATGCTTTTTTTATTGCTGAGCAGTGCTTGCATGGCATCAAGGCCTTTTCTGCTTCTTGCACTGCGACACTATTCAGGGCGCTGGGGGAGCACGGCACGTTGGGATAGGACACAGTTGGGAGAGCTGACCCCAGCTGACCAAAGAGATGTCCCATAACCTTATGGCATCATGCTCAGTATATAAAGAGAAGGGAACCAGAAGGAAGGGTTGGGTTGGGTGAGTGATGGTATTTGACTTCCCCAGTCACCATTATGCATGACTGAGCCCTGCTGCCCTGGGGATGGCTGAACACCTGCCTGTCCATGGGAAGTGGTGAATGAATTCCTTGTTTTGCTTGGCTTGCATGCACAGATTTTGCTTTTTCTATTAAACTGTCTTTATCTCAATCCACAAGTTTTCTCACTTTTACTCTTCTCATTCTCCCCAGGATCCAGCTGGTGGGGAAAAGGGAACCAGAAGGAAGGGTTGGGTGTTGGGAGTGATGGTATTTGACTTCCCCAGTCACCATTATGCATGACTGAGCCCTGCTGCCCTGGGGATGGCTGAACACCTGCCTGTCCATGGGAAGTGGTGAATGAATTCCTTGTTTTGCTTGGCTTGCATGCACAGATTTTGCTTTTTCTATTAAACTGTCTTTATCTCAATCCACAAGTTTTCTCACTTTTACTCTTCTCATTCTCCCCAGGATCCAGCTGGTGGGGAAATGAGCAAGTGACTTTGTGGTTGAAACTCAGATTACACTGATCTGGAGTTATTGGCTAGGGTTAGACCATGACACTTGGGTTTAAATATACTACTGCAATTTATGTTTTGCTCCCTTCCACAGGCAGTATGCCATCAGGTAAAAAAAGTATTCATATGGATCTAAACACACAGAGACCCTTTCAGCACAGGAGGAAGGTACGCACTGGTACTAAAGAAAAGGAAAAAAAAGCCCAGGAATATAAAATCATTATTTCTGCAGTAAATTTAAGACCAAGTTAGTGCCAAGTCAGATGCATCCTGAAACTCACCTGTGTAGTTAGTGGTGAAAGCTGTACTGGAGAAAGCAGAGCAGGGAGAGGCCTGGCCCAATTCAGTATATCCATCACATTTCCATCTGGGCCCTTTTGCTCTGGATCAGAGAAGCCTGAAGTGCTGTGTGCTTCATCTGTCTGTATTATCACATCTACAATTTTATCCTCACTGCTGTGCAGACATTCTTCAGTAGTCCTTTTCTCAACATAATCCTCTCCAAAAGGCTCAGTACTGTCTTGAAGTTGCACAGCTGTTACAGAATTTTGCTTTACAGCACTTTCCAGTGAAGAATACCAAGGTAGTGTTTTGCCATCACACTTCCTGATCTTTTGGTGGATTTGTACAGTATCTAAGACATAAAAATATTGTTAAGAATTTTGTCACTCCCGTTTCTCTTTATAGAGATAATATATAATGGAACTAAAAATACATTACCATATTTTCACATGATGTTCCCATAGAAGCACTAAATGTCACTTTCAGAAATACTTTCCTTGCCAAGATGAGATATTATTATGCACAAACAATTATTTTTTCATTAAAAAGGCGTATGTGTGTGCAAAGAACTTCTCCTCAACCACTTTCTGGCTTGGATCATTAAGACTATTCTTCCCAATTTTCCTTATCAGGAAGCGCCGTTCTTCGTAGGACTGAAGGTCCATAGAACTCAATGATTTATATCAGTCTTTGCCCAGTAACTCATGGTCATGAATAGCAGGACAAGCATGCAGTGACATTCCCCATTCAGGATGTAATTCTCAACTTAAAACAACCTGCAGCTGTACTTGCAGGCCAGTTACAATTATCCCCTGCCATAAACACAGTAAGGGAGTTCTTAGCTATATTCCTAGTTATGATGTAATATGCATATGGTTTTAAATTGTTTGTTCTTTAAATCTCAATATTGAGTCTAATTGTATAAGATTTTGTCTTTAATGATATGACTTAGTCAAAGCTGAAACCCAGAACCAGTTATTCAGAAACTTTGTTCAGAATCCTCCTTCAGGCACACCCGGACACACAGACACACACTCACCCCCCACCAATGCCACAAGGGTTACACAATCTTCCAGAAAGAAAACTCTGCATGCTCAGAACTCCTTCCGGAGAAGGTATTGAGGTGTTTACTGGAAGAATCAGGATTATAAAAAAAGCAGTTCTTGATGTGCACACAGGCCCCCACCTACAACGGACCAGGAATGCACATCACAGCCACGGACTGCAATCACCCGTGCATTGCTGGAGCCATGGGTGGTGATAACCTTCTATCTCTTCTCCTACCTCTCTTTCTCTATTTCTCTCTTTCCACTTCCTCTCTCTTGGGGTGATCATACACTTCAGAACAGCTATACACCCCTTTTCCAATCTGTTAAATTTTTTCCTAGTTATGGTTTCAAAGCAGTTGTTCTAATCAAATTTGTTGTTCTATCAGTCATTTAGCATCATTTTGGGACCCTCTAACAATGAACCTGGCTGCCCTGCCTCAGAGCAGGGTCACAACACCATCCCACAGTAGAAAGAACAGCACATGCATAAAATGGTTTTGGGCAGAGGATGTATTGATTTAATTGGCACAACTTGCATTCTGTTGGAAAAATAAAAAAAAAGAATAATGTGCTTCATATTCCTGTCTGTGTTAATCCACTACCAGAACTTGCAGAGATATTCCTGAAGCAACATCAATGGTAGTATCATATTTGAAAACTTAATTTGATAGGCCAAAATGACCTCCCCAGCAAACAAAACCCTTTCAGAACATTCTGATATGTTGACTAGACTAAAGCCATAAATTATAAAAACTGATCAATAACCCTATTTCCAACATCCATCTCAGTCACTTCATGTAGCAGCTCCATGTCAAAATTTTAATTGCTGCAATGGACACCAGGAGGAGAGAGAAACTGTTCCTTCTAAAAGGCCTTAGCATACCATTTTGCCCAAAGATAAGTAAGCTCTGCTATCACCTTTTCATTTTACAAGTTTTAAGATCATACACTGTTTTATAAAACTGTTTACAAGCAGCAGTCACACAGTTTCCAGGATGTTCTAAATTTTCTCATGAAAAACATAGGATTCCTTTTATAATTTGAGCTCCATTAGATGATCCAAGAGAAAAAGAGATCCTTCATAAGAAGAAACAAAGAAAAGAAGGAAAATACAGAAGGTGGTTCTCTCTTAGAATTATTTCATGCTACTTTGTGCCAACCAGTTCTTAGCTCAGAATTTTCCCCACACTGAAGTGGGTAGCAACAGAGAGTTACGTATTTTGCCCCTAGAAGAACTTTTCACAGTGAAATACACAGTAGTACTAAGTTATCAGGATCTTTACATCTTATCTATCTACTCTACCTACTTTACCTACTCTCACAATCAGTCACGTACCCACATCGAGCCGAAGAATGATACACACCATCCATTGAAAAGTTTCCTCTGAGAAACGGATCAAAGATATAACTTCTGAATAACTAAGAGATTCTCCATCTTTCTCTTCTCATCGCTTTCCAACCCAGTCCCAGATAACTGTGAAGTTCTTTTGGAATGAGATGCTTTTCTCATGGTTACCCCTTTATACGTAGGAAGAGTTGTCAAAGCAATTTTTAAAGGTTCAGGATATGGCAAGCTTCTCTATAGGAAATGCCAATTCTTTGGCACCTGGGCCCAGTCCAGGAAAGTCCTACTGATATTGAGCCCATCTCGTTGGAAGGATCCTCACAAAGATCATACTGTGCAGACAAATTTTACTTTATCCAGGGAATTGCATTGTTGTTCATTTTGTCACTTAGTGAAAGGATTACATTCTCTGCTGAAATCTACAGCCTGGAATCTAGTTCATGTAGCTTCAAACCCTAACAATGCTGCCTTCTCTTACTTGTGAGAGAAGATTAAGATTACTCTGATCTGAGAGTACTCTCACAATCTATCACATACTACTGTGAAATACCTTATTGGTGCAGAACAGAGGAAAGAGAGCGGAGATGAAATAAGCAACCCAAGGCTAGCATTGGTTGCCTTGGTACTAAACAAATTGAATTTTACAACTCAAAACTTTGCTTCTGTTTGTCCACATTGCAGAGCAATTCACTGTTGCAAAACATTGCCCTCTCCTCACTCCAAACAACGAAGCAACTTTCTTAAACAAGTCTTGTGCTTTTTTCTTCTCAAGAAGGACTGGATTAAGATGGTGGATATTTTATAAAAATAATTAATCTGGCCATAGAACCTCATCTGATTTACAGCAAAACTTCATCACCATCGGCACAGTGAATGCAGATAGCAATTGCACACTTCTCAAGAACAGAAATACTTAAGAAAAAAACCCTTCACCAGAAGTTTTTAGTGCCCTGAAAACAAGACACAATGTTTCAACCTGTTTCCAGTTATGTGAATTTCAGGATGCTTTATACAGCAGCTATTCTTTAGAACTATGGACAATGCTCTGTTTTCTGAGACAGCAAATTCTCACATTCCATCATATGAAACAAATAATTAGAGTGAACACTGTGTAACCGAAACTAAATGCATGATGCTACACTATATAAAAAGATGTTACCTCGAGAGACTTTCAAATGGTCTGAAAGACAGAAAAGAGTTCTGCTTCTTAAATCACTCACATCCTCTGGACTTTAACCTCAGGACCATAAAACATACACATGTCCCTAGGGATTCCATCTTATCTTTGTATTTTTACATGTAAACCTACTGCTTTGTATCTCCTTTTATGTGGTATTAAAGCAGCTATCAAGGTACCTCCAGTGTGCTTGTTTCCATCTCTGCTTTTAAGATCTACATGCAGCTTCTCCCCTACCCTGGATCTCCAAACAGAAAAGAGCAGGTAAGATGGGTATAGCTCTGTAGTAAGCCAGATTTAGCTCAGAACCCAGTCACACATACCACTTGAGGAGGCTCAGCTCCTCCCAGATGCAGTCTTCCCATTTTCCCCTCAGTTTGTCTCAGCATAACATACAAACAGTGCATGTTAGAGAATACACATTGACAAAATCTTCAGCACAAAGCTGCCAAGATTCCTCATATGCTTCTTCACATACTCATTCACAATGTAGGTGACTTTATGCTCAAATTACATGGGACAGAGTTTTCCAAAGACTGAAAAACCATCCATGTCTTATTAACCTCAGATTATGGCCCAAGGTTATTGGTCTGATGGTCAGATGCAGGTACAGTCAACTTTATTACTGAATATTTGTAACAATACTAACAAATGCTTTGAAATTAAATTTGGGAAAACCTCTTTGTCCTATGAAGCTTCACAACAGCACATTTGGAAAGCCTAATGAATCTTCCAGTTTTCATACATGAAGACATTCCTCAAGAAAGCCATTCAAAGTGGCATCAACCTTGGTGGAACAGAGAAAGCACTGATCATCATGCAAAGTTTTGGGTATTTTACAGCATACTTGAATTTACTAAGAAATCAGTCAGAAGAAGTACCTTCCTGAAAGGCTAGAAAGGCACACAGATGAACTGACATTCTCTGGAAAAGATACCACCATCAAGATGATTTGCTCTCTAAGATGAAACCATTAAAATATGGGACAAGAAATTGGGGCAAACTCATTAAGATCCTTATTTTTCTAAAAGAATGCACCTGTAAACATAAGCATTTTCTTATTATGCATCCAAGGTAATGGCCACTTTCATGAGAAGCAGAATAACAAGATGGTTGTCCTAGGCTTCAAGAAGGAAAACAACAAACCCAAGCAATGGACAGTAAGATGTACTTCTACAATATCTAACCATTCCAAAAAAACCATGTTCTAAGCTCAGAACTTCTTCCACACTGAAGTGGGCAGAAAGAGAGACTGGCTAGAAGGGACTGTTATGGTTAATTGCTTCCTTTTCTGAAAGTTTCCTTGAGAAGATATGAATAGGAAAGGTGGGACAGGATTTCTGGATTCTAAAGTTCCCCTTGTGGTGGATAGGAAGGGACTAGACAGTAGAAACTGATACCCCTAAAATCACACATATTTCAAACTCTTCAGTTTCTTCTGCTTGTTCTTATCATTTGATTGACCCTTGATCAAGAGCTTAAATTCAGAATTTCAGGGCACAACTGTCTCGCTCAGTGTTGGAGCTGAGGCCACAGATCTGTTCCATTAAACCAGTGAAAGTGAGGTTGATAAACAGGCTTATGAGCTGGTCCTTATATTTTGGCACCTCTTAAGTAGAACACACTGGAACACCTTTGAAACAAGATTCATTTGGATCTACACTAGTAGACTTAACAGGGTGGGAAGAGAGGATAAGAGTTCACCTTCAAAGCTCTTGGGTTGGGTAACTATCCCAGATAGCATCTCTACAGCTTGAGTTACAGAGAATCAAAGTAGCAGAAAAAAATAAAAGATCAATGAGCACATTCTGGAGAAGCAACTACAGAAATACTTGGACAGATTTAAAGCACCTATTACTCTTGAGGTCAGAAAGAAAATGGTATCTGTTACGTAAAGTTAAAGCAGTTCAAGTTTGCTGTGAATACACATATGAATAACTACTCAGTATTTTTTATTATTATACTGAGCATCATGTTACAAAATTAAAGCTATCATAAAACTGTATGTTTCGTTTGCATCATAAATCTGAAATATTATTATTCAGGCAGGTATGAATGAAGAAAATGGAGATAACTCAATTTTACAATCCAACTATCTTCAAACTAAAAAGAGCATCTGCATCCCTCACATTATGTACCACAAGAGTTTATAATGATATAATTACAGTATAAACCTAAGGTGAGTTTTGACTACTTAAAAATAGTCAAAGCAGCTGATAGTAAAAGAATTTGATATCTCAATTATAACAGCAGACTACAGTAGCTTTTAGTTAGAAAGGCATTCAAGTTTACTTGGCTGTTCAAATGAATATTTGAATTCACACATGTACTTGACCAGGCAGTTACCAAGGAAAGTATTTCAGTCCTTCCAAAAATGTTATGCAAACAGTACCCAACCTGATAATACCCCAGTAACAATAAATTAATGCACCTGCATATTAATAAATTCACATTTACTGGAACCTACCTTCTGTAACAGTCAGTCTTCTTTTTTCAGGCAATGCCTTATCCTGAACAGAAGCTGAAAAAAAGTGCCTATATTTATTTTTCTCAGAAATAGAAAGTGCTTCAAGAAAATTTCAAGAATTTGCATGCTATCTCACCCAAGACAGGATCATTTTCCTCATTCTCTCTTTTTCCTGTTGCGCTGTCAATGCACATCCACAGTTCTTCTAACAAGAGCTTCACTTTTTCTGTTAGAACAAACAAAATGAATAAAGATATTTTTTAAATAAATTGAGGAAATTGAACTAAAAATTTATGCTCCTTTATTTTTACTCATAACACAGACATGCCTACAACAAAACACAAAAAAATTAAGATAAGGCACAAGCCTCAGAGAAAGAGAAATGCTAGATGCCATTAAGGGAATGGATCATGTACTGCCCATATCCACACAGGAGACTAGAGGAACAGCTGCAGAATGCTTTAGGTTTTCCTTTTTATAGTCAGTGTTGCAAAAAGTTGTAGCAGCTCCCAGAGTAAAATGTAAAAGCAGAATTGAATGTACCATGAATGAAATTAAATAGCTTTCTAAAATACTCAGGCTATATGAATGTAAATGGGAGAGAAAATCTTTTAGGAAGAAAGCATTTATATCATATTTTTTCTTTCTGCCAACTGAGTATCTTAGCGTCTCGGTATCTCAGCATCTTAATCTTATTATGGAGTAATAGCACCATGCATCTGAATTAATTATCAGGCCTAGAGTCCTAACAGCACCATTGCTAGGTGATGTCAAACAACCTAGTTCAGAAACAGAAGAGCAGGTGGAGAGGGAAAAATAAACCAAAACCTCAGTAAAATACTCAAGCACATCATCTACTTATGCCAAAACTATCATCAGATCCAACAATCAGGAATTGAGTTTTTGGTGCCAATTCCATAAGTCAAAGGCCACAACAAACTGCTGCAGTTTTATGAAGAGGCATCTTAAAAAAAACCACAGCACGTAAGAGGAAAACCTGCCAAATTTTGCTTAACAGCTAATAACAACACTAACATTTTCTCATTACTAATACACCCTTGCTGCTATTTGAAGCTCATATTAGTGCTCAGATATCAATTTTCCTATTTTGTCGCTAATTAAAAATCAAAGTATGGAATTGGGTACCCATTCAGTACAATCCAAAAGGAAGTAAAAAATATGCCAAGACACACAAAAATTGACAAGGTCTACATTTTTCAGAAAATTTAATTTCTGCAACAGACTTATTGCAAAGCAAGAAACAGTACAGGGAAATTCTTTTGCCTCAAAATTGCTTTCAGCATATCTAAACAATTCAAAAGCAATACCACCATTTTCTAAGACTACAAAAATATAAAAATAAAATTGCTTGAAGTTTGGCCTCAGTACTTTAGAAGAAGTTTAGAAGGAGTTTGCTCCATTACAGTTAGATTCAGATAATTTGTAGCATGTATTTTCGATCATTAGGGGGGAAGTAAGTCAACAGGATAAGATACAGCTATACCTCCTGGATTTCCATTTGAATTACAGAACCTCACACAGAGTGTTTTGTCCTTTATGATTTCAATGAGCTTCAAAGACACAGGGATTGTTTATATTTTTCTCAGTGTTTGCGTTCTGGTTTATAATTGCAAATCAGTTGACTTCACACACGCACAGGGCAGACTAGTCATTTTTATGAATCAAGTATTTCATTAGTGCAAAACTTAAACTGATACTACTACATCAGTGTAACATGTATCAACCACATCTGCCCTTACAGCATTTCTGTCAGTATCCTGTTTCCAAAAATGCAATTCCAGAAGAGTTGAAATAAACTCATAACAATTAGTTCCACACAGAGAACAGTCTTGCAAACAAATCTTACCTTTGTCTATATCTGTTGTAAGATCTTCACTTGAACTCTGGGTCTCTGCATGCTTCACTGTTAAAAACAGGAGAGGTGAAATCAAAAGGTTCAAACAGAACAATACCACATACAAATCTGAAGGCAATCAAAGGTGAACACTTACCTTTTCGGCACTTCTCTTTAATTACGCCATCGAGTTTTCCCTGTTAAAATTTAAAAGTATGATTTTTTAAATGCCATATATAGTTTGTAGAGCATCTACTCTTAATGAGTGTGAAATCTAAATCAACATTTCAAAGGTCATTCTTCAGCTGGAAAATTTCTCTCTCTTAAGGGTGAACTGCTATGTTTAGTTACTCAGTATCCCCAACAAATATAAGTTTACTGTTTCAGTATGTCTACTACTAGTAGTTTCCTTTCTTTCTCCCAAATACTAAAAGAAGCTTCACCCAAAACCAAGAAAAGTCTTACTTGTGCCTTCTTCAGCTCCTTTTCCAGCCTTTTCTTTTCAGTTTTCAGCTGTCTGAAGTCCTGTGTATGCTTTGTTGCAGCCTCTTCAAGAAAGAGAACAAAAATTCAAGTTAGAAACTACATTATAAGAGCCCATTAATTTCAGTAGCACTGGTCACTAGTTTGCAAATCAAATTACCAGGAAAAAAAACAGGTAAGTGTGAAATAAAAATCTACTGAAGTCATATTTCAGCTCATTAAGACAATAACTTACACATCTAAGTATGTTGTCATCCACTGCAAAATTACTGTTCTGAACTACTGCAAGACATTCATAAGTTTTCTCACTTACATGCAAGAGTGAAGTGTACAACATATTGTAGTGATACTGTACTGCAGAACAATACAAACCAAGTGAAAAAAATGAAATAAAATTAAGAACAGGGTGCAATGGGTTTTTTCACACATTTTATACTCTTATTTAAAAGTGGGCTCTGGTTCAAACATGAAAACACCATAGCCAGCTGCATTAGAATGCTACAGGTAGCACTCAACTCATAAACACAGAAAAGGACTTTATCTCTTAATGTCTAACACCTGGGCAGAGTGCAGATGGGTGGGAATAGAGAACACAGGGTAGGTATACATGGGCAGCAGAGAAAAGATAGATGGAATTTGTGTGCTGATCAGGTCACAGAAGAGAGCGTATTAAAAGAAGGAGCATTAAAAAGGCAGCTCAGGTGGTATGATGGCAAAAATGGCAAAATTTCATAGTGACAAAAGATGCAAGGCCTGGGATATTTAATGAACACAGAAAAAACCAAAACAGATTGAAATAGTCACTGAAACTGGATCTAATGCAAACCCTCAATATTTTGTTCTAGTTCTGCCACAGTCTTTGGAGGCAAGTGTATATACAAACCTGGCTGTCCTGTAATGGAACTCCAAAATTCTTATTAAAATCAACACCTTGTACTGCACTTTACAGTAGGATTTGGAGGGCTTGTAACACTAAGATACAAGTCACTCAGTTCACTGTACTCTAAGCTATGATAAGCCCAGCTGCAAGCATGCTATGAATGCAAGTATTGACCTTGCCAAATGACAGTACAGCAAGCAAAGTATCATCAAGTTTTTGCTACAAACAAACTAACCAACCAAAACACAATTGCCAGAATATCTAAAAATCAGAAAACATGTATCAGGATCACCATATATTTAAATATTTTTATAAATGTGTCTAGAAGAATCCTGCAAGGATTATTAGAATGCTGAAGAACATGCTCTATGAAACTTGTTGAACTAGATATAATTAGCCTGAGAGGAAAAGAAAGCAAATCTTAGAAGGAATCCAAGAACAGCTTTCCTGTACAAGAAGGTATAAAGAAGATGGAATGAGACTGTTCACTGCTGTATGGTGGCCATCAAATGTAAACTGAAACATGAGAGTTTCCATCTTGTTATAAGGACAAATATGTCAGTCATGCAGTGAATCAAGTTGCCTGGACAGGCTGGTCAGGCTCTATCCTTTGGGGTTTTCATGACCATAATTTCCCTTCCAACTTCATTTATGCTATATGCCTAAGATACTCAGCAGAAAACGTTTTGCAGGAGGGCTGATGTAATTCAGAGACTCAGCACCCCACATGTTACTGCCCTGCCTTACTCCTTAGGGTCCCAAACTTAGTCACAATTATTTCCTTGGATAGGAAAGGAACCAAGAGATTCAGTAAGACAACAGTACAATAACACAACGTAAAAAGTTACCTTCAAGTTTCTTCACTTTTGCTTCCAGTTTCTTTCTTCTGTTAAAAAAAAAACACATACATCATTTTTTAAACAGAATTTTGTTGCATGAAAAGCCAAAAAAAAAAAAAAATCTACCCATTTCAAAGAATACACACTTCCTAGACACAGGACCTGCGAGAGCAATGAGTCCCTGAACTTGTAAAATTAAATCAGTAGCATGCTGCTGACATTCTCACACAAACAGCTGTGACTGTTACAGAGGCAGAGTTTGATTTAAAGAGAGTCAATCCACTAATGCAGGTACATAAATATACCCTTAGCTACCACTTGGGATTTAAAAACACAACCATGGAAAACTGGCTTCTGGTTTTTGCATTACTGTGATGTGATGCAGACAGGTTAGTTTTACTCCTTAAAAACAATTAAGCCTTGCTTACAATGAATAATATTACTGACCTCATGTGACCTACTGCTTAAAATAGCCTCAGTCAAAGGTATATAAAACAGCTATAGCATCACAGAATTGAGGTTGAAGGGCCCTCTGGAAGTCATCTTGTCCAATCTACCCTGCTCAAGCAGGGCCACCTACAGCTTACTGCCCAGGACCATGTCCAAATGGCTTCTGATCATCTCCAAGGATGGAGAGGCCACAAGCTCCCAGGGCAACCTGTGCCAGTACTCAGTCATTCTCACAATAAAACCAATGCTTCAGAGGGAACCTTCTGTGTCTTAGTTTGTGCTCATCACCTCTTGTCCTGTCACTGGGCTCCACAGAAACAAGCCTAGCTCCATCTTCTTTACACCTTCCCTTTAGGTATTTATAGACATTGATAATATCACCCTGACCCTCTCTTCTCCAGACTTAGTCCCAGCTATCTCAGCCTTCTGTCAGTGGACAGATGGTTCCATGCCTTAAACATCTTCATGGACCTTCAGTGAACTCACTCCAGTATGTCCATATCGCTCTTGTACGGAGGAGCCCAGAACTGAACACAGTACTTCAGTGGTGGCTTCACCAGCACTGAGCAGAGGGGAAGGGGGACCTCCCTCAGTCTGCTGGCAAAACTTTGTTTCATGTAGACCAGGATATTGGCAGCCTTCTTTGCCACAGGTGGGTACCACTGGCTCATGGTGTCTTGGTGTCATGGTGCTAGACTTGGTGTCTAGCAGCATTGCAAGCTGCTCTCCAGCTGAGTGGCCCCCAACATGGACTGGTGTGTGGGGCTGTTCCTCACCAGGTGCAGCACTTTGCACTTCTCCCTGCGGAACTTCTCAAGGTTTCTGTCAGCTCATTTCTTCAGCCAGTCAAGCTTGTGCTGGATGGCAGCATGCCCCTCTGGCCCACAGCCACACTTGTGTCATTAGCAAACTTGCTGAGGGTATGCTCTGCATTTCACCAACAAAGATATTAAACAGAACTGGACCCAGTATGCAGCCCCTGCTGTATTCTCCCAGGGTACACTGCTACCTACTGCTATCCAACTAGACTCTGCACCCTTCATCACCACCCTCAGGGCCCAGTCTACCTCACTGTCTGCCAATCCAGCCCCTACAGCACCAGCCTGAGGGTCTATGAGGCTGTTATGGGAGACAGTGTCAGAGACCTTATTGAAGAGCTACTGCTCTCCCCTCATCTACCAAGCATGTTAGTTTATCAAGTCAGTCAAGTATGACTTCCCCTTGGTGAGGCCATGCTGTCTGCTCCTGAGGAGTCTAGTGTCCTTCATGTGCCTGAAAACAAGTTCCAGGATGAGCTGCCCCATCACCTTCCCAGGGATCAAGGTGAGGCTGACTGGCCTGTAGTTCCCTGGCTCCTCCTTCCTGAAGATATGGAGGGACAGATAGGACTCAAGGAATGTATCTATATTGACACAGTGTATTGCCAGCACATCAGGGTGGTCAGTTCTCTATTAAGGTGTAGTTAGCAACGAGGCAGCTGCTCTCTGCTACTCTTAGACAGGATGATCTTCTAAACGTTCCTTTAAGCCTATGAGACAGAGTACACCTATGTGAAATAAGTGCAGTCTGGCAGAAGTGACAACAATGCTAGTCTGCTTGTACAATCTTTTGAGTAACAGTGGCTTGCTGCTGTGCATATGAATACCATGTTTGACAGGCCACATAAGGATACTACGCTATCTCACGTAAGAGATGCTTCAGTGACTTGATCATTCTCATGACTCTTTGCAGGACCCTCTCCAGTATACCCACGTCTCGTACACAGAAGCCCACAACTGGGCACAGTACTGCAAGCATGGCCTTGCCAGTCTGGACCTGAGGGAACTGATCACTTCCCATGACCTCCTGGTAGCACCAAAATAGCTAAGGAACACCAAAATTAAAAATGATAGCAGCTTACACAGAAGTAAGAAGTCACCAGTGAGAGTCCCATTGGGATGTGTGCTGAAATGCATCAGAAAAAAAAGCTGACTACAAAAAAATAGCAGAAGGGTCTTAGAATTGCAAGTCCCTAGAGAGCAATCACTGGTTTTGATAAATGCAAAGAGATGCACAGGGAGACAAATAACCACAACTACAAATTCATAACACCCAGCTATTAGCTGGTTCTCCTTTGAGAGCATAGGTACCTTTCCATATAAGATTGAGCAGTCACAGTTCCCTGATGGAAGTGACTTAGAGGCTAGGAGTATTATAGGGTTAAAAAGCAATTAGACAAATTCATTAGACTATCCATCAAGAGCTGTAAGAGATGATAACACACATATGCTTCAGGCAAGGAAGCCTTTGAGTGACTGATTGCTGGATAAAAAACAAACTTTGGAAATTATCAAGGCACAGCTTCAGAATATTCTGTACCACGGCAGCAAAAATGACTTCTACACTTTTGGTACCAAATCCCTCCTGCTCATTTCCAAACAGTACACCCTGAACGGCTGAGCTATTTCTTCAAAAACTATTTTAGGGACTGATTCTAGTGCAGACCATTTTGCCAGTATCATTTCTATACTGCTCTCAAAGAATTATGAGCACAACTGAAATGGACAGCAATAACTAAAAGCCAAGACCAAGAACCTCTTAAAACTGGAGAAACAACAGCTTCTTCTCAATCTCACCCTGTTCTTAAAAACTTCCACTAAGTAACCACCAAAAGCCACTTCAAGACAAGATAAGTAAATGAACACTACACTCAAGAGTGTTTGCTGCAAAATTTAAGACAATTCCTCCAACAACTCTCTGTTCTAAGAGCCCACAAATATAAAATATTTAGCAAAATGGAAAGAATGATTAGGTAAAGTACAAGATCAAGTTCCAGAAGAGGTTAAGAGGGGGGAAAAAAGGCTGTGAAAAAAAAGAAGCATCACTCACACAGCATCACTGTTTACTATTTCTTCTTTAATTTTAACATATTCCAGTTGACTTTCCCGAAAAATCTTGAGAGAACTCTGTAAAGAAGGAAAGCACAGTTAAAATATGACTACACTCAGGGCCAAAAAAATAGATAGCAGACACTTTACCTATGCTTTTGTTAAAAAGAAGTGCATAGCCAAAAAAGTATATTTGATGAGAAAATAAGCAAATTGAAAAGCCAGGTTATCCTCCTTCTTTAAAGGCAAAAGTTATAACGAACAAATACATAAATCTCTATCTCTCTATCTTTTGAGTATGTGCCTCCAACACCAATCTGGATAGGAACTCAAAACTGAAGTCAAGAGCACAACTATTATACACCATATGTATAATCCTCCTTTTTCTGAAAAAGTGTCACCAGGACATCAGCTACTAATGCTTGCTGCAGGAAGAGGATCTTAAAAACAGTTCTAACATAGAAAACAAACTAGGCACAGAGACAAGGCAAATGTTAATATCCTACCTTACACCATCATGAAAAGACCATGAGAAAGAGGCTGGGGTATTCTTTTCAGAAGTAATAGTTAATGTTTAGAAAATATATATATATTTACATGATTTGAACAGTCAAAAGCTTTTTCTCCTGCAGACTAAAATTCAACTAAGGGATAGGAGAGAATCAGGAATCTATTCAAGAAGCTAATAATGTAAAAACATATGTTCAAAATGGTAACAGAAGCATAATCCTTTTCTGTACAGATCCTCTTTTCACCTATTCAGTAATCTGCTAAGATCAGAACAGAAAACCAAAGGAATCTGAATGTTTCTCCCTCCTTCCTAAGTGAGGAAATAAAACCCAAATAATCTTATCAAAAATCATAGGAACTACAACAACCTAAACTTTTTGCCTCTCTGAAACCTGCTGCCATTTAATTAATTCCACCTAAATCCAGAGCTGCCTGTCCCAGTGAGCTGGAAATAACAACTGGGCTCATTAAAGTCAGCTTTGTTAAAATGAGCATTAAATATATACATTTCCTTTGACAGAAAAAGTGCAAATTATTTAAACCTTACAAGCACACCTTTTTCTCTTCCAGTTCTGCCTTCAATGAACCCAGCTCTTCCTGGCACCTTTCCAGAGGCAGGATTTTCTGTAGCATCTGCTCCACTTGGCAACGAAGAGCAGAGATCTCTCTGAAAAGGGATGTGCAATTAAAAAAGAAGTTGCCAAAAGCACAGGTGCTTTCAAACTCAATATTCTGATTGTTCAAACGTCTGAGTATCTTGCTTTTTTTCCTATGGAAAAAAGAGCTGGCAGAGATACCCAAAAGCTTTTAAGAGGCTCAGCATTCTCATTTTAATATCCAACATTTTACATTCAAAGAAAATTCAGTATCTGATTAAAAAAACACTACACTGAGCTAGATGCAAGCAGATGACATGTGCCACATAGGAGTGCTGCCTACACTGAAGTGCCAGTAAAGAAGTGTCTCTGCATTCATAGTACTGTAAAATAAGAGCAGAGTCCAACTGTGGTATCTTTCAGCAGGCAGGATTGAATCCATAAGAATTACATGCTGCCTCTTCCTCTATAATCAGGAGGAGTAAGCAAAGGCCACACAGCCAAAATGCTTCACAGATATGGCCACCCCAAACAGGCTTACATTTAATCACCACCAAAAGATGAGCTCCACATCTCCACTTGGTCACTTAGGACTCTTATGCAACACAGGGCCAGGAAAGAATCTCACACAGGTATAGCAGAAGGACAGATTTCCCTGCTTATCAAGGATACCTTTGCTAACTATGGTCTAGGAAGCATGGTAAAAGGCCCATATTAAAAGCTCAGCCTAGCAATGCAGGGCTGTTGCTATTATAGCACCAGACCCCTAAAACTAACCATGACACAGAGAACAGTGTCTTTAATAAACAATTTAAATCAAACTTACCGTTCAGCAAATTGAAGCTGTAATCTCTTGTTAAGGTAGAAATTAGAGTTTATCAAATGTCCTTAAGTGTATTTCAATCCAATTGCTACTTGTCAAGAAACATCCAGTAAAGACTTCCACACGCAAAAAAACTTGTACAGGACTTGCAGAACTAAGTGCTTAATACATACATTTCAATACATTTGAAGTGAATAAGCAGAGCTTTGTTACATGAAAAAAAAATTTAGTAATTCTCAGCAACACAGATTTCAAATGGATCATCTTCAACCACAGACTAGACACAGGCAGATCTTAAGTGGACAGTTTTAATTCCAAAGGCCTATTTTCTTTACAAAATCTACCCAGTCTGTTCTTTACTAGAGAAATCATCTCTCAACTTAAACCTCAATTAAAAAGCCTCAAATCCTCTCAGAAGAAATGTTATAGGTATACTAATTCTGTAAGAACACTAATAGAAAAGGATATCAGTGCACTTCTGTTGATACTCTGTCAGCAAACGACTGCAAGAAAAGAAAAAAATACATTACTCATCTTCTCACCTGATTTTGACAATCATGCCTTAGGATACCTTTCTTTTTGCTTTATAAGTAAATACAGGAAGGGTAAGATTGGTTTGCATTTTCTGACAGTAGTCAATAAACCCCTTTTGTTTCATTAAGGCATTCAAACCTCAAAAAAAGACTGCTTTAAAATAGAAAAAAAACCAACTGGTAATTATATGAATTTGTAGACATTAACTAATTGCAGCTTTAAACAAAAAAAAACCCCAGCATACTGTGTAGGTCAAGAACATAACATACATTTATTCTTTAATAAATACATATATGATATGCTCCCAAATTTAAAAGGATGTTTTCCTAAAAAAGAACACATAAATCTCAGAAAAATAGTTCGAAAGACCCTAAAAGGCTTTAATCCCTCAGCAACCACAAGAGGGTAACACCTAATCCAAGTGGGCCGTAGGACAGCACCAAGGAAAATTACTGTTTTCTTTCCTTAAAAGTTAGGCTTTTTAAGAACGGCCAGAAGAGAGGAGAAGAAATAGAATAGAATATATGCTGATGGTTTCTGAGAATAACTGGAAGCATCACAGAACAGAAAGAAAACTATTAGAAGCATTCTAGAATCTTCCTGTTCTGAATGATGTTAAACTTGGTTTTTCATATTCTGATATTTAATCCCAACAGCATTTCACACCTTAATGATCAGACTACATTCTGTGAAAAGGTTCCTATACATCTGTACTCAACTTTTAGTTCTCACACTACACTCTTCACAATAGAAAAAATGAAATAAATCTTTTCAAATTTTGCCTCTGCCTGTACTTATAATAATATATGCAATGTATAGTAATATATAGGTATACAAAATAACCTTGTTTACTGCCATTACACAAATGTTTTGGGGCATAAATTAAAGAAGTGTTAACAGTCTAGATTTAGGACCTGCTTGTGAAGAAATTACTTTCATTTTGAGGAGTATTTAGTGTGGTGCATTAACAAACAACCACACTCCACAAAATCTATTTCCTCCATTGTTTTAAGTACTTAAGAACAATAAAACCCAAACAACCAAAAACACATATGCAATTGTACTTACTCTCCGTCAATCATTTTGTGCTTCAGTGCAATTAATGCAGCTACATATTCATTTATATTCTGTAAGGAAGAGTCTCAAGTTGGTAAAGAGCTTACACCCCCAAAAACAGTACTGTCCATTGTAAACAACTCCTCAACCGACTGCTGATATTGTACAGAATACAATAACCTGTCTTCTTGTTTTTAGTTCTCTTAATGAACAGCTTGCTAATTCACCAAATGCATATTAATTCAAACACATGTAGGGCATGCAGGGTCCACAAAAGAGTATGCATACTTAAATGAGGTCTTAGTAAAAGAGCTCTTTAAACCTTGCCTTTGCAGTACATTCTGTGCTAAACCCCCATAACTTTTTCCTTTAAAATCCAATTAAGCTTAGGCAGAATATTAGCAAAGAACAACATGAGCTCACTTGAGTCTATAGATTTTTCAAATTCTCAATCCATGCTCAGTCTAAGTATGAACTCTGAACCCCCAGCAAGGCCTTCCCTTCATTTAAAGGAGAAACAAATACTGTGCAAAACTAATACTATCAAAATACAGACTCGCTCAAGAGTCCTGCAGAAAGGAAGTGAATGATAATACTCCTTTCACCGCACCGAAGCAAAAGGATACGCCTGGCAATTCCCCGGCAGATCCCGCTAGGCACGCCACAGAGACACCAGCTAATTTTCCACACTCCGTCCGGCTACAGCTTGACACCGCTGCTGCTTTTACCGAGCGCGCGTGCCACGCGCGTTATCCCAGTTCCCGCGGCACCGGGAGCTGCGGCTGTGCACCTGCACTTCCCCCCAGCCCGCCCGCGGCCCCA